GGAAATCCAGCCTCCCACAGCTAATAAATGGCAGAGCTGGACCAAAACCCTGGTCTATCCAAGTTCTCAAGGGTCATTTTTTGTCCCCCAAGAGAACAACATTGTGATATAAGCATAGAGAATGACCAATTGCCATTAAAACCCTTTGAGGGGTAGAATATTCCCTGAATGTAAACCAGGGTGGGGTTTGCACACATGCAGAAAGAAATCTGTCCATAAACACTCGCTGAGTGAGTGAAATTTAAAATAATGGTATTAGGCGTTTGCCTGTGGCTTCAACCCTCACAAACTTGCCTGTTGGCCAGGGAAGCCTCCCTACTGGCTGAAAGTTAAGTTACAAGAAAGGAAAAAAAAAAACCTAAAAGCTTGACTCCAGTTACAAGCAAGCCTTTAAAAATTGACTTTGACAAGGTTGTTTTGCCTTGAACTTTTCCCATGGCTGGCTTTCACAGATAGGAATTACACTTGTCCTCAAAGGCATCCCAGCGCCTCCACACTTCTGTACGAACTGGCTGGTAATGGGTGGGGCTAAGATCGAGGGATAAATGTCTTGGGGGTTTGAGATTGATGTTTATGGCTCTGTCTGTCCTTGGTGCTTTGATCTGTTACCCTGAATGGATGGTGCAGCCCTCATTGTTTGTGGGAGTGATTGCTTTTTTGTTTTATCAGATTCCTACAGGCAGAATATAAGGGTGGAGAGATTACAGGGCGGGTGTGGAATTCGGATGGGTTGGGTTGCTTGTGTTGTGGGAATTTGTCAAGTTTGAGTTTTGCCAGTGGGGGCTAGATTCTGAGTCTAGGAGGGGGGCAGGTGTGAACCGTCGTGGGAGCCGGAGACTCAGCTCTGCGACTCCAGCCCATCGACATGGCTCTCACGTAGTCCCGGCTCCCAGCCATGTGGTGTGCTAGGGCTGGGCATAGTTAGGCCTCTGTTGGGGGCCGGAGGACTAGAGAAGAGATGAAAAAGACAGAATATCTCTCAACAAAGCACGAAACGCCCTCCGCCCCCCAGCTGCTCCAACAATGAGCTGGCGGGGTCTCGATGGGCAACTGTTGGCTGATTCAGCCCTGAGCTGTGGGCCTTGGCATATGGCATCGCCCCAGCCATGGCGCTGACCCTCCGTGCCCTGGCCAGCAGCGTCTGGCTTGCCTGCACCCCCACTGCACGGAGGCCTGTCATGGCAACAGCTGGGGGCCAGGGGGGGGTGTAGGGGGGGAGATGCAGCCCTGGCCTTGCCTGACGGGCTGAGATGGATGGGTTGCAGGCGGTGGGCCAGAGGGGCCCCTCCCTCCTCCCTGGGGTCTGCACAGGAGCTGGGGTCAGGCCTGGGGAAAAGCAGGAATTCCTCACCGGAGGGGATGAGAGCTGGGAAAATGGGACATTTCGGGGTGGGGAGAACCAGCCAAAGCTCTGGGTGTCCCCAGGCATAGTCTCTCCTACTCCTCTCCCCGCCTTCCCCACTCCCTCATGGAGCTGACTAAACTGAGAAACTGCCCACAGAATATCAAATTTTGTTGGAAATGCCTGGAAGGGAGGAATAATCACAGTGACTCACTTGGGCTCCAGAGGAGCGTGTGACCCTTTACCTCCCTGACCCGCCCTGCCCTGGCGAGAAGCGGCAGGGACTGCTTGCAGGTGCCCATCTGTCCTCTGGCACCTGCGTGGTCACCACTGGGAGGAGCTGAAATGGCATATTTGACTTGCAAACACTGAGCGTTCCCCTCCCAGATGGGAAGTGAGGGGTGTGAGGAGGAGTCAGGGCTGGGTGGAGGTGTGGCGAGTGGTCAGTTGGGCCAGGGTGTCACCTGAGTTGGCAGAATGGCTCCCAGGACAGGCCTGAGTCTGCCCTGAAGCATCTGCCTTCTGTTCCCTGTCTGTGCACCTCCTGGCTTGTGACTGTCAAAAAGCATTTCTGTTTAGCACGGAGCAGAGAGCAGATTGGATTCCTTCTCCTGTTCATCTGCCGACTCGGGAATACCAAGAGCCATTTTGGCACCTAAACTAGAACCTCAAAAGACTGTACTACTTACTAATAAGCAGAGGAAAGACTATTTCTTGTGGTTGCTCCCAAGTTCACGCTCTGGTACAAAGCCATGAATGGAACCACCCTGGACTTAGCTGGGGCTTTTACACTATTGGAGGCACCAAGCATTTTTACGGAAACTTGCCTTTGCTTGGCCATGGATCTGGGTAGAATGCCTGGGTCTGTTTTTTGTTTTTTTTTTTCCCAGACTCTTTTCCATTTTTGATAGTCACACATATATATTTGCATAAAAGTAGGCCAACTTCAGATAAGCAGACCACCTCAAAGTTAGAATCCCCCCAAAATGAGGGCATCCAAACAGCCCCACAGACGGGGAAGGGAGCTGCACTGGGGCAGAGCTGTGGCGGGGTCCCGAGACATTGTTGGGATCTCTTTGATAGGGTGCCGTGAATGGGCATTAACAAATGGCTGTCTCAAACATGCACCCTTTTGTTTGACTAGCTTACTGTAGATAACCTTTATTAAGCCCGACCTGAAATTACAGCCATGGCCGGTGCTTCTTTGATGCTCTGGCTGGTTTATTTCCTGTTTATACTATGATACACATTGCACTAGGAGATAAAGCACTTCTGAAGGATATTAAGAACTTAAAGTCCCTTGGCTATTTGCTGGCACTGTTTTGATGTTTTCTTGCTCCCTGGAAATTAGCATATCCTTTTCAAAGCCTGCCTCTGATGAGAGGAGTCCTTTGCCATAATGTATTTGCTGAAAGTCATCAATGATAGTATATTGTGTAAAGAAATGACACCTAAAAGGCATGATGCTAGATTAATGATAATGAGGCAACTTGTGTAACAGTTGCTTTTGGCTTTTTTAAAACATATTTTGACACCATAAATACACTGAGCTTTTATTAATGAGGATTTTACGCTTCTGAGATTTTTGAAGCAAACTTGCATAGAACAGTTTTTTTCAAGGAAAGCACTAGTAGGGGGTAAGTTTAACATTTTTACTTAAGTTATGTTCTATCAAGACATTTTATTGTGTTGGAAATAAGAAATGATGGTAAGCTTTTTGTTTTCTGAGCTTAGAGTTAATGAATAAGTACTACATTAAGCCAATTTGTGACAAGAATTTTGCCCACATACCTAGCAATTTTTAAAGTAAAACTAAGTAAGAAAAGAGAAGGAAAGAGAAAATTAGGCAGAAGGAGAAAGAAGTCATAGAAACAAAGAGAAAAACGAAGGAAAGTGAGAAAGATTTAAAAATGGGAAGGCAGGAAGGAGAGAGACAGAGAAAGGAAAAAGGACAGAAGAAGGCAAAGAGAAGAAAGGAGAAAGGCACAGAACTGAGGAAAGGCGGAACCATGGGAAAGCAGGAAGCAAAGAAAGACAAAGGAAAGAAAGATAAACACAGGGAAGAGTGGGAGGAAGAAAGACAATAGTGAGAGAAAGAAAGGAAGGAAGGAATGGAGTGGGGGAAGGGAAAAAAAGAAAAGAAAGGAAGTAGTAAAAAGGAAAGGAAGAAAGAAAAGATAGAAGGGAAAGGACGAGAGGGGAGGGAAAGAAAGTCCCGGACTGCATATTGGTAAATTATTCAAGAGAAGGGCTTTGGCAAATCTTAACTCAAGCTTAAGATTAAGGACATTTAGGAAAAACAATTTAATTACACCTCTCTGAATCAGTGGACTTATCCTTAAATTCAAGTGCATTATTCTTGGAGTTTAAGGTTGGGAGGAAGCTGCACCACTATCTTCTGGGTCACCTCCTTCTCTAGGCAGAACTGGATCCAAACAGGTGCCTGTAAGACAATTGGTGAATTTTGATTCTTTTCTTTAGGATTCAATGCTAAGAGACACTCCACTGTTCTTTCATGATGACTGAAAAGTATTAAAGAACAAAGCAGCATGGAACGTTCTGGCCAAAGAAAAGCCCCTCTGACCATTTTTCTCACTCTAGCACGACTGTCAGTGAATATTAAGCAAATATTTAAGATATCCACAGCAGGGACATTTTCTTCAAAATCTGCATACTTTTCAAAATGAACTGTTTCAAGCTTTCAGCTTTCTTTTGTGTTTCTACATGCATTTAACATGTGTTGGGTTTTCAGTTTAAGGATCAAAAATCTTCTCTTAATTACAGACATATTGTCCTTGAACTGTGTGGTTTAGAATATTTTTCTCTTGGATGTTTGGTTCCAACTTGGCTATTAGAGAAGACGGAGGCAAAAGAGGGAGCTGAGGACGGGGTGTGGAGGACGGCAGTGGGCACCCTATCGCCAGCCACTGAACATTTCTGGACACTCTTTTGTCACAATCCCCAACCATCTAGAGCATTTTCCCAACCACCTACAGTATTAGGGAAGTGTAAATAGTTTACTAATTCTTCCTGCTCTTAAGTCCAGTTCAAACCTAGTGAAAATACCTTCTGAGAGCTGAGGGGCCATTGAATGGTCTTAGTCCTTCTTCAAAAAGAGATTCCACGGGGACACAGGACAATGCTGGAAGCTTGCTGGGCCTGGCAGCTGTGCTTCGAGGGTCTTTGTGTAAGTCACATCCTGGAGGACAGCGCTGCAGTGGATTCCACCCTGAGGATAATTGGTATCAGACTCAGAGAGGGGAGTTCCCAGGAGGAGTGGAGAAAAGGGTCCCAGCTGGACATTCTAATTTGAGGAAGCTGTCTTCCTTCTCCACATGCCTCCTCCTCTCTCTTCTACATATGTGACAAGCTCCAGGGGCTGTAGGGAGAATATTAATGAGTTCAGGATCCATCAGGAATGCAGGGTTACTTGCATGTGAGTACAAAGGGCACTTACCTACCTTACAGGCTTATTGAGTGGATGTGCCAATTAATGAGTAGGGATGCTTTGACAACGGAAAACACTGCAATATAATAATTGGCCAGCTCCTTCACTTTCCAGTTTCGTCATCTGCACAATGGGGATAATGACACATGTGTCGCTCGGGTGTTGGGAAGGTAAAGGTTAACTCTGGCCTGTTTGTGCTTTTATATTCAGGGGCAACATTTACCATGCAAGGCGACTACAAACCAAGATGAATCATGGTTCGGACTTCTCCTTTATGCCCCGCCTCACTGTGTAAGTTAAAGCGAGATGATGTTTTTGCTTAAGAACTGACAAAGGAGGAATGTCTTTCTGAAAATTTTTGTGTTTTAAAAAAATTTCTCCAATTGCATGAGAATGCATGTGCTATTTTTAGTGCCTGTGAGAGAAAAACCAGAGGCATAGGGGCCACCATCCCAGGGTGCATCCCTCTAAACCCCCAAGGAGAGTGTGTCATTGAGGACTACATGTCTCCACTGCAGACAAGAAACCCCAAATAGCAGCATCTTCAGCAGCAGAGAAGCTTAGTTTCATTTTTCTCACGTGACATGCCTGGAGTTTGACTTGGACACAGTGTTTAGTCGCTCTGCAAATTTCCCCAAGACTTAGACACCATCTAGGTCACTGCTGCACTATTCCTCAGGGAACTTGGGGTCCCCAAGACCCTTTGAGGAGATCCGTAAGAGCCAAAGTGCTTTTATATAATGCGAAGACGCTAGCTGCCTCTTTACTCTCTCTCTCTGAAGGGTGAGCATACAGTGCAGGGTCCTAGGTTCTGTGATATGAGATGGTGCGGCTCTGAGCTCTCATGGAACATATGCTTGTGTATGCTTGTGTTTTAAATATTTCTATTTTAATTTTGGATACTAGAAATATCAATAAATACAACTCACACAAGTAAAAGATTCTTGGTAATCTTCAAGAATGTTTAAGAGTATACAGGAGGTCCTGGAACCAAAAAGTTTAAGGACCGCTACCCTATGGTTATAGCCTTTGTCCTCATGGACCAAAAATGTTGCTCTAGTCTTGGCCATTGTGTCTGCATTCCAGCCTGTAGGAAGGAGGAAAGGGGAGGGATACGAGTATACTTCCTTCCGTTGAGAATGTCCACAGCATTAGCACATACCACATTCTATACTTTATTAACTAGGGCTTAGCTGGCTGCAAGGGAGGATGGTCAATGTAGTTTCCGGCCACATGCTCAGTTTAAAAAGGGAATGGAGAGAGGACCCTCTTCCTCAAAATACAGGCAAGAAGGGCTATTAGCAGCCTCTGCCACAGGTGAAAAGTGCAAAAACAATATCGTGCTCTTGAGATGGGGACAGACCATCTGCAGAGCACAGATGGCTTTCCTTCCACACCAGGCAGATGGCCCTGAGTACCCTTGTGTGTCTCAGAGCCCTAACCCCCACACATTTGGCTGCACATGTCGCCCTCATTTTCACTTACTCCCCAAACTTGGCTTGACCTGTGAGTTGGCCTTGACAGCTGAGCTCAAGGGACCTTTGTGACTTATTACAGATCTCTGGGTGTCTCCAGCTAAGTTAGGGCTGAAGAGTAGTGGTTATTTTCCAAGAGGATCACAGCAGAGCTTAGTGAGAAAGAACTGGAAGTGAAAGTCCTTTTGTGTGGTAAGAAATCTAGAAGAAGGAAAAAAACCACAGTGAGCTAACTAGCACCTGGGCTGGTTAACAAGTGAGAACAGTGTTAATGAAGCCAAAATAGAGGGGTTGTCTTGGCCCAGAGGGACCAAATAGTTTTGCTCTGACCAAATCTTTAACCCTGATCTCCCACCTTGCCCGTAGGTGTTCATCACGAGACAGACTGGACAGAGTAGCGTGAGTGATTCAATAAACTCTGTTCCCACACTGGGAGATCACCTTCTGTTCTCTGCCCTGTTGATGGTGGGTCCAAGGATGATCTTTACCTTGACTATTACAGCTAAGTGAAAGTCTGTTCCAGCAGTCACAGGGGGCTACACGGATGCGTTCACATAAAATTCTCTTGCTCCTGACTGATCCCATTCAAAGCCTTTCAGTCCTTTGGCCTGAAAAGAGAGCACAATGTGCCCATTTGTTTTTGTCTTTCTGCTGAGATTAGTTCTTGAGAGCCTCATGGAAAGCAGCTAAAATGGATACGGTTCTTTGCATTATGTAGCATGCTTCCTGGCACTCTAAGAGTGTTTGTGGATGTGAATGGTTGTTTCTGATTTTGCAGTTCTACCATTTTCCTCTTTTTTTTTCCCAAAAATTGACTTCCCCTCCATGAAGCTTTGGACTGATCTCTACTGGGAGTGCCCAGCAAGGTGTGCTTGGCCACACGTTCTGATAATACAGCCTTTTTTCCCCATCAACCTATCTTACTATTGACAGGCCCTCTGTGGTGATTTTGAGCCAGTTCTTTGCAAGCCTAGATAGAGCCTTAGCATCAATAAAACTTGAGTGTGTGGGTTGTGTTGAACTTGACGTCAAAGAAGCAAAACCATAAATGCTTTCAGAAAAATCCAAGCTCAAAGTCAAACTTGCAGAACAGCAAGTACAGGCGGCAAGAAACAAAGAAAGGGAATACAAAAGCGAGTGGTTTCCTTTCAGCTTTCAGAAGGAATGATAATTACACAGCCTCCCCCTCCCTCCCAACAACATCTAAACAATGCTGACCATGTTGTCAGGCAGCAGATGCTTTGCCCTACAAGCCAACCCCCGACTGGAGTCTTCTCACCTGTTTCAAAAGTTTCCTTTCAACCTGGACCATTCAATTCTGTCTTTCTTCCTCAGCTTTTATCCATGTCCGCAGTGCTGTTCTCAGGAGTCAGGAGAAAAGAGGAAAATCAATGACTGACCTGCCTACGAGCCACACTCGGTTAACCTGGCTTGAAAGGGCTTACCCACTTGACACTCCGAGGGAAACCAAGCAGGACTTCTCAGCACGCAGGGCACTTGGCGATCCCCTGGGTTCAGGACACACGCTCTCAGGTACAGTGTGGAAATGAGGTCACGTCAATTTTCTGGGTGGGTGAAACCTTCACAGCCTGACTGGCAATGAATCCTAGAGTTGCCGGCAGGGCCTGAGTAAAGTAACATGGCATCCTCATTGTCTTTAAATCAGGTGACCCCTCTTAGAAATAGTATCCTGTAGTGTTAGGGGTGTGGGTTCTTAATTCAGAGGGCCTGGGTTTGATTCCTAGCACTGTCATTCCCTAACCATGTGACACTGAGCAAAGAATTTATCTTCAGGAGGACTCAGTGTTCTCATCTGTGAAAGGGGATAATAATGATCCTTGCTTCACAGGTTTGCTGTCATAGGTGAGGTGCTTATCATAGAGCCTGATAGGGGCTCTATCCCTACGACTGCAGACCCAGGAGGGTTAGGCAACTTACATTTGGTTCGGTGTGAGAGGGGTGTGTATGGACCTGGTGGCCACTCCTCTTCCTAATTTTTTAAAAAGATTTTATTTATTTATTTTTAAAGAGGGAAGGGAGGGAGAAAAAGAGAGAGAGAGAGAGAAACATCAATGTGCAGTTGCTGAGGACCATGCCTGCAACTCAGGCATGTGCCCTGACTGGGAATCGAACCTTCGAACCTGAGATGCTTTGGTTCGCAGCCCGTGCTCAGTCCACTGAGCTATGCCAGCCAGGGCCCCTCTTCCTAATTCCATTTACTGAGATATCTGACTGGGAGGTCACAAGTCTTTCCCTCACCCTTTTCCTTTTATGTTCACCTTTGAAAGTTACAAAGAAGCTAGACTTTTCTAAAGAGAAACCCTTACAAGCCCTTCAGTTGAGGTGTGTGAGACTGCTCATAGACCTTTCCATGTATCCCCTCCCTCCGTGTACACACAGTCAATGCCCTCTCTCCCCACACCCAAGTTCTCCTTCCATGGCCTCCATTGAGTCATGGATTGTCCTTGGATCACAGCACTCCCTTCCATAGAGAGTATCTGAGTGCTCATTCCTCCAGGAAGCCTGCCTGGGTTGGTTCCTCCTTTCTTTTATGTATAATTGGAACCTCCTTTTCCACCTGTCTGCATTACACGTCTTGGTCCTTTGTTTATATTTTACTCCCTAGAGTGCTTTTCTGTGTGTCTCGGATGGTGAACTCCTGGAGGACAGCACCTTGGCTCTATAATTTTCTGGGTTAACCTTTGATGATGGTGATAAGATGGCATGGCCTAAAGGGATGCTTTGATTTTGATGAGTGAAGATGAAAAGCCTTCAGAGGGTCAGCAGGGGTTTCCACGGCCTGTGTTCACTTCCAGTCGGGGTGCCTCTGTTCTAAGCTGCCACCCCCTCTGCTCTTCCTACTTCACTCTCATTTCTTCCAAGGCACACACCTTGAATCCATGGCTCCCTCAACCCACCTGACCCTCTCACTCATGGATGTGAACCCATTTCCTAGAGCAAGCACTGTCTCAGATCCAGGTTCATTATCAGTAATCACCAGGTTCCCCAGCTGGGCTACATAAGGAGCCACCCTATCCCTGCATGTTGGGCTCTGCAGTTCAGCACGCTGTTATTCACGCACCTGGGCCGAGAGCTGGATTGTCACACTAGGGAATGTGGGTTTAAAGGGGCGCCAGCCAAGTAGGGGATATCACACCAAATGTGGTTTGACAGTATCCCTGCCCATTTTCTTAGGACAGAGATGGTGTGGTAGCCCCAGTATTTTCTCACAAGTCTTCACCTTTGCCTTGGTCTTAAAGTGGGATTGGCATACTTCCTGCCCCTTGATTTGGGTTTGGCCACATCACTTGCTTTGGCCAGTGAAATGTTAGTGGATGTCACATAAGCAGAGATACAAAAGGGCAAGACAAGCCCTTTTGTGTCCCTGCTCTTGACATGAGAAGAGTATCTAACCTCTGGCTAGCTACTGACCCTCATCACGGGCCCTAGAATGGACACACATTGAGCAGACCTGAGCTCAACCCACAGTGAGAAGCTGAGCCCAGCTGGACCACAGCTCGAAGCAGAGCATTCCTGACCTGATCCACCCTAGTCAGCCAAGCCCCAGCTGCCTCCAGGATGGGTCAATAGAATAGAACATTCTTAGTTTAAGCCATTGACTTTTGGGATGGTTTATTATATAGCATTATTGTGGCAATATTAACGGAGGCAGATGCAGATAGGTTTCCTCTTGTATTTCTTTTTTTTTCTTTTTAAATATTTTATTTATTTATTTTTAGAGAGGGAAGGGAGGGAGAAAGAGAGAGAGAGAGAAACATCAATGTGCGGTTGCTGGGGGTCATGGCCTGCAACCCAGGCATGTACCCTGGCTGGGAATCGAACCTGCGACACTTTGGTTCGCAGCCCGCACTCAATCCACTGAGATACTCCAGCCAGGGCTTCCTCTTGTATTTCAACTCTATTCAATTGGTAGAGAGTGAGAAGAGTGCTCCACTGGGTGGAGAAGGATCATGAGGTTAATTTGGACTCAGTGTGGAAGAATTCTGAAACCTATTAGTGATGCCTGTAACAGGAAGAGCAATGGTACAAACGCAATGTAGCTACTATCTTGGGTCTAAAGCCTCTCCTCATGACTTACCTCGGGGCCTTCCAGTCAGGGCAGACTATATAGGAATGTGGTCTATTGAGAATTCTACCACAGAACCACCAAATGCACATAGAATGTGGCCTATTGAAAAGTATGCAGGTCACATACTATGGTATTTTCATATTTATAGCTTAGTCTATCATCGGGGGCCAAGGGTGCCGGTAGCACATACAGCTTCTTAGAAAAAGGCACCTCTTTTGGGCAGATGCAGTCCCAGCTGGGATGCCAGCTGGGTGAGCAGTTAGTGGGGGAAAAAAGGTGTCTCTTCCTCTGGGTAGCTGTACTCCACGCTGAGGTACTTGGCTTATAAGAAGCCATGGACTGGATTTCAGCCCCGACTTGCTCCCTTGGCTGAGCTCTTTGGTAAAGTGCACAAACTGGTCCACTGTTCATGGCAGGCTTACCGGCCCAAGCTGGGATGGAAATCAAAAGAGGAAATAAGATAAAAAGAAAGAAAAGTCTGCCCTTCTCTGATGTCAGCCCTGCCCAACTACTTTGCTTTGGAGTTTTGAATGCCTCATCTTAGCACAATTTGACCTTGTGTCTCAGGCCCAAAGTGCTTGTGTTTTCTGGGTAGTTGGAAGAATGGTTTAATTGAAGTGGATAAGCCTACTACTGGACAGACATGTTCCATTCCAAAAGAGGAAACTTCTATTCCACTGAATCTCCAGCGTGGAAATGTTGGAAAGTGCTAAGCTGAGAACCAACTCCCTAAAATCTTTTGCCCACTCCTGCTTGTCAGGTACTTTGGAAAAGCAAACAGTGTAGTGTAAAAGGATCCTCTTCTGGAAGGTAACTGAAAACCCAAGGAAAGGCTGACCCTGGGAATTAGATTGCTTGAGCTTGAAGAGCCAAATAAAAAGAAGTCACATCTGGTTCCATTTTTCTTGTGAAATTATCTCACAATGACCAAGTAGGTCCTTTCCTGAGTATATAAATACAGAAGACACACACATGGTTGTTATCAAACAGTATTGTGCAAAATTAAATTGGCTACTTTATGGTGAAATGGAGAAGAATGGCAGGCATTTCAAACACATGAGTTTCTTTTCGTGGGGTCTGGAAGCAATCACTCATGAAGACAGCTACTTTATCTCCTAAAGTGGGGACCGTTCTAGAAGGGACAGCAGGTTGGGTTAAAACCAGTAACATGGTCAAACCTGCAACAGACCTGAGGTTCACAGAGTCCCGATTGCCTGATCATTTGGGGAAGGTAGTCTGCATTTAGTGACAGAAATCACTTCCACCTCATGTCCCAAGCTGGTCTTTTGGACAAGGTCTCTAATGTGCTGACCATATGTGAACTTGGGGCCAAAGGGAATGGACTTCCTGGGGTTTTTCAATTATCTTTTGGTCTTGAGTCTTGCTGTGTTGTTGCTACCTGGCTCCCATCCCCAGATTGTTCCAGGGAATTTACAATAGATGAGAAGCAGAAATCAAGGAAAGACCCCCAAGCCCTCGCTGTGGCGAGACTTGAAACTGCTCCATATGAGCCAGAGGAGGAAATGTTAAAGGGGGCAGGGACAGGGGAGGGGGCAATGATACTCAGGGCCAGGCATTTCATTGAGACCATCTTTGTCCGGCAGCCATTCCAAGAGAACATGGATCCTTCCCCAGATGATGTTTCCCACAGGACCTGTGTGAGCAAAAAGCTGGTGGTGGGAGGTGGAGGAAGAGTGAGACAATGAACTGCAAAACAATAAAAGGTTACGGGGTTGGGAGAGGGAGAGGGCCCATGAAGTCGTTTCCCCTGCCACCCTGCCTTGGAATTCCCAGATGTTCTCGTTTTTATAGGCTCTGTCGAAGGGTAAAAAGCTTGCACTTAATTGAGATCCATGAATGGAGTATAAGCGAGCCAAAAAAAGGAAGGGCATTGTGAATTGTCCCAGGGATGATAGCTGGCTCTTTGTCCAGAATTTCCTTCTCTTTAACCTTCCTGTTTCCAAACTTGCAGTCCTCGTGAGATCTTGCTGGATCCCAGACTGACCAACCCAATTCTCATGCAATCAAAACAGCCCTCAACTCTTGCTAGTTGTCTCCCAGAGCATGGTTGAGAGAAGAGCACAGTGGGGAATACCAGCAGTCTCTTAGAATGTGTGCGATCGGGGTTTGAATTCAGTCCTTGGAAAGGTGTTTTGGTACACATGATCTTTGTAAGATTCAAACAAGGCTTCATCATCAAGGAAAAGAATTGGAGAGGACGGTCTTTACTTCTGTCCCTGCCCACAGGATTCAGATGGCCAAAGTGGGTTTGAAATAGAAGGCAAATAAGTAGAAGTATGTCAGAAGCTCTGAGGAAATTACAATGTGGCCCGCTCCGTTGTAATTGGAAGGTGGGAGGCATGGAAAAATTGGATTTGTTACATTTTTGCTTCTCTGAAAAAGTCCTGGTAGAGCATTTGAAAGAAGAAATCTGTTCTGTGGAATGAAGTTTTCCATTTTCAATGGCAACTAGTAGATGTGGTAATGGGACCAGCATGGGTCTCTTTCAGTTTAGTGATATGAACTTGAAACCTAATAATGCCACTGTCCTAGCAGTTTGTCTTGGCGTACTTTGAAAGTCAGTGGCTGAAGAACTCGTAGAAAATTGTGCAGTCAGCTAATGTGAATCTATGGCTTTTAATCCCCAGAGGACCATGGACAAGCATCCCTCAGCTTAGAAGTCTTAGACTTCATGTGCCACTCAACAAGCGCCCCTTCTAAAGAGCCAAGGGCATAAGTCTAGGACTGACCCTACTTGTGATCATTAAGTGCATTCAGCTTCCATATCTTATTTTAAGGGTAGTTCTGAGATTCCTTGCGTTTGCTTTTTCCCATCTGAAAAAGTTGGAAATGAGAATGCAGCTGATGCTTTTTTGAGTGTGAATTAACTCTCAAACGTTTGCTATTTGTCAAGAGTTGGAAGCCTCCTCCGCCCTGAATGCACTATGCAGAGCGGTGGGCTGGAACCCGGGGCAACAGGTTAGAACCTGTAGGTTCCAGACAAAAGAAAGCAGAAAATGATGGCAGAATAGAGGTAGGGTCTTACCAGAGGGCCTGTGCTGGGCCTTCTTCTGTGCTGGGGTGGGCTGGGAGGCATGCAGTGTCCAGTTAACTGCCCGGCACCTGGCTCTGGAAGAGGCCGGACCAATGCCCTCCTTAGCCTCAGCAGTGGCTGCTGTCCCCGCCCTTTCTTGTCTAACGCTTACCTCTAGGATGCGAGTCCGCAGTGGGCTCCCTCACTGTCCCAGCCCAAGAAAAGCAGGAAGCAGGGCCTGACAAGCTTCCAAATTGCCCTGAGAACTTGAAGCTCCTCCAAGTGAGAGGAAATAGAGTTTGGAAGACTTCAGCAAGAAAATGACCAGGTATTTCCACCTCCTTTCGTCAGCGTCTTCTTTGCCTGAATTAGTGAACACGAACTTGGTGGAACTGCAGGTGTCTGCAAAGAACTTTGATTTTCCTAAACATTTACAATTCTCTTTTATGTATGCCGTCAGAAAATGGGCAAGGAAATCGAAAATGTAAATCTTTAAGCAAATGTGTGTGTCAAGGAGACTGCAGACTCTCTTCAAGGGATCAGATCATCATGAAAGACACCCAAAGAAGAAAAAGGAGAATTTCCCAGCTGCATGGGCTCCTCACAATGGAAGTGGGAGCCTCTGCTGGAAGGGGCGGGGCTTGACCTGAGAGCCAATGGGATGCCCGGTTGTGCCAGGGCAAAGATGAAGGACAGGGCAGGGGTCCTTTTGCCTCAGGCCTCATTACCTGCAAGTCAGTTATGGTAGTGGGGAGAATTGTATCTGGTTCTCCTGACTCCAGTCTTGAAATTGGCATCCCTGGACATACGCTATTTCCTTTAAGGGCAGCATTATAAAGAATTGAAGCTTTTCTGGTATCTCTTTGGAAGACAGACTCAGGGAAAACTATGACATCGATCAAATGCATCTCTATCTCTCCTTCCTCCTCTGCTACTCCTGTCTTCTTCCCTTTTACTAAAACACCTCATACATGTACAAACAACAATCCAATGGAACATGTAATGAGTATCAATGGAATATAAAATGCTAAGAATAGATGTAATAAGGATCACATAGAAATATGTGAAGGAGCATGCACCCTCTACCGAAGAACAGGAGGAGGACAACGAAATGGAGACGTGTCCTTTGTTCTCGGATGAGCAGATACAACACAAAGGTGCCCTTTCTCCCTCAATTTTTCTGAAAACCTAATCCAATGCTAAAATTTTAATAAGAGGCAGTTGATAAAAATAATTTCAAAATTCATTAGAAAGAACATAAAAGTGAGAATGACTAGGAAACCCTTAAAAAGAAGGAAAACAAGGGGGACCAGCCCACACAGAAAATGAAGCATGTTCTAAAATTAGTGACTTAAACCATGCCATACTAGGAAAAGGAAAGACAGATGAGTGGAACAGGTTAGAGGTTCCAGAAAGATATACATATACATCTCAGAAGTCAGTATATGATAAAGGGTATTCTCAAATCAGTGAGGAAAAACAAGAATTTATTGAATGCTCTTGGGACAACTAGCTAGCCAACTGGAAAAAAAAACATCCCCCCCCCAAATAAATTCCAAATGCTTAAATGTAAAAAATAAAACATAAAAATCCTAGAAAAAAGCATGGATGAATATTTGTATAATCTTTGGATGGAAACTTCCAGGCATGGCACAAATGCTATAAACAATAAGAAAAAAAGATTGGAACATGTGACAGCATAAAAATTAAAAACTTCTGCATGAAAAACACCATAAACAAAGTAAAAAATAAAACACAAATAGGAAAAATATTTAGGACACATGTCAGAGGATTAATATTCCTAATAAAGAACACTTATGAATAAGAAGCCAAACAACCCAATGAAACGGTGCATGTGTATCAAGCTCCTGGTTGATTGTTTGAAACATGGACTGTCAGTCTAAACAATATTTGGGGAATATTTACACTAAAAAAGTATTTACCATCTAAAATTTGAATTTGACTGGGCATTCTGTATTTTAGATCTGCTAAAGCTGGTAGCCAGCCCTCTCTCAGACACATGGTCTCGTTTTGGCCCTGCAGGAACTCCATGAGGCAGAGAAAGAGCTTGGTTAACCTCTCTAACGGCACTGTCCTCCACTGCCAAGTACAGTGGGAAGAGGAGTTAGATAAGGTGTGTACGGATCCCAGTGCAGGACTGCCATCTAAGGAGTATTCAATACACACAGTTTTCTTTCCCTTTCATTTACACGGGGCTCATTTTACAGATGAGAAAGCTGAGGTTCAGGCAGGGGAAGTAACTGGCCCGAGTCCACCCAGCTAATAGGACAGACTGGTCCTTGTGCTCCAAGCCGAACTACCTGGCTCCCTGCTCACCCCTACCCCCTGTCCTCAGCCTTCCCTGGGTCCTCCCATGTCCTGATGTGGCTCTTTTAATTTTCGTCCTTGGGTCCTATTGAACCTGATATTCTTTTCTCTCTCCCAAGTGTCCAACCTTTGTCTTCTACCCAGATTATCGATCAGGCAACTTAATTTATGTCAGAAGAATGGTTCTCCATCTTGGTTGCCTATTAGAATCATTTGGGGAGCTCTTAAAAATTGGACTGCTCAGGCCACAGCAGACCAATTAAATCAGAACTCTGCGGTAGAACCCAGGCATCAGCGGTTTTTTTTAAGCTTCTCAGGAGATTTCTCTGGGCAGCCAGGATTGGGAATCACAGTGTTGGCATACTCATGGCTAATCTTGACATTGTAAAATGTTTGCCTATTAGCTGATCAAGTCCAATTCCTCTCTTTTATGATGAGACAAGAAAACTGAGGCCTAGAGAGCTCAAACCACTTAGCTTGGGTGACCCAGCTGATTAGACAGGCAAAATGGAGATGAGAACCCAGGCTTCCCCATTCTTAGCACCGTAGCGTGTTCAGACCATGTTGGTTCTTCTCCAAACACGGACAACCTTTGTTTTCTCAGGCACATGCAGCCACAGAGAAAGATCTGGGCCTTGGGTTTCAGTGACAGAGGTATTGACTGCAGCCCAACCCCCAAATGTTGTTCCATGAGTTGAATTCCATCCCCACTTCCTGACCCCCATGTCCTTTCTTCTCAGTCCCCAGTTTAATTCTTTCCCACCACTTTGGACAGCACTTGCCATGTGTCCCTGCTCCTGAGGCCAACTCCTTCCTCTCTCAGACACTGGCTCTCCCACTCAATGGGCCAAACCTCCTGATTCCTGACTCAGCATCCTCTTCAGACTAAAAGTCCTCCATCAAAACGTGTACGCGCAGGGTGATGCTGGGTAAGGAGAACTCAGCTGGGAAGCCAGTTTGCCTTGGGTATTAATCATTGGTCATTGGTTAGCCTTAGAATAATAAAATATTTTTGTTTCATCTTCACTGGCTGTTTTCCTGCTCGGAAAACCTGTTTGGGTTCTGTCTGGGGCCTTTGTGGTCGGAGGCTCTCAGTCTGTGGTCCACGAACCACCAAGAGGTCATGGAATTCAAACGGTCCATGAACATGGCTGGGGAAAAAACAGGCTTTTACTTCCACTAACAATACAGCATGTATTTATTTTGACTAAGCAATAAGATGTATTTTTCTTTTCACAAACTTCTAATGGAAATTTGGCACATCCGTCAGCTATCAGTGGAGGCGACAAACCATGATAGTATTAGGGGCGTCTGTTCCTTTGTTACCTACAAAGTGAGTAGATATTTTTATATCATGTTATAGTCATTGCAAATACCTTTCAGAGCAATTTATGTTCATCACTACTCTAAAATTATGGTAAGTGTTAAGCTTGTGACTAGAGATTTTTAATGTAATACTAATAAGTACACAGAGTCCTACATCTTGATGTAAAAGTGTTTTGGTAACTGTTTTTCACTGTAATTGGTTTCCTTTGTAACCCTATGAATTTTACTTTCTGTGCTTAAAAATCTTCAAAGCCTTTAAAAGCATAACTCCGAGAAGGACTCCATGGCACAAAAGCAGTTCCGAGCTCCTGTGTCCTCATCACTGGGTGACCTGCACACACAGGGATGGTCCTTCTGAGCCTCCGAAGTCACGTCAATGCCTCAGCCCGTCCAGTCTGAGCCTGTGTCATCAGCTGAGTGAGGTCAGGGCTGGTAGAGAGTTGGGCTCTTCTGAAAAGCTCACCCTAGGAGACTTGTCATCTTTGGGGCAGCTCCACTTGTTTGAGAATCCAGCTTCCTTCCACAGCCTTCATGGGAATTACGTATTCAAGAAGTACCACCAGCAAGCATGAGTCACAGCTCTTTTGGATGGTGGGGAACAGAAATCTGTTCACTCCAGCCCATAGCAAGGCTTTGGGGTACTGACCTAGAGTTCTCATGAAAACAGGACACAGCAAGGCCACCTGGGAGTAGGAAGCTACCCAAGACCTAGGTGCCTACTTTCTGCATCCTCCAGGAGCCTCCTGCCCTTGGCTTCTTTCCGCCCCTCTGGCTCATTCTCCTTTTCTGACCTCCTTTGTTTTCTCGTGAGATCTGCTGACCCATAACTTCAGTTCAGACTCCTTCCAGAGCTCACTGGAGCCCTGATACCCATGGTCTTGCAGCCCCACTTCCAGCAGCTCATTGGCTGTGATGTTTCTAGGGGCACACACATCTCCAGTTCTCCTCTTCTTCTGGGCTCTCGGAAAGATGGCACATCCCTACACTACAGCAGTCAGGTAGGGCCATGTGACTGTTCTGGCCAATGGGCTGTGAGAGGAAGGGAGCAGGTGTCACCTTCCAGTCAAAGCACTTGAAAGCCACGTAAGCCCCTCCTGGGGTTTCCTCTTCTGCCTGGTGAACACTGAAGCCTCCCTTGGAAGATGACGGTGAACCTCTGTCAACCCGGGGCCTGAGGAATGATTCTGTGGAGCAGAGAACTCTCTGCCCCACCCCCTCCCCAAAACCCACACTGCCATGTAATGCCAGGAATGAACCATGAGCAAAAGAATAAACTTTGTTTTAATCCACTAAGATGTTAGAGTTATTTATTACTGCGGCACATCCTATCCTTTCCTGACTAATAGGCTGTTTCCTATTTAATTATTAGGAGAAGATTCTGAGTGGCCTGGCTTGGGTCAGTTGTCTACCTCTGGCCTGATAAGATGTAGCTGGGGTGGAGATGAATCATGATTGAAATGTTCTTTCAGAGAGGAGAGTCTGTAGGGGGACCTATGACTATTAAGAGAGGAGGTGCCCCCAGTCATTAGTGAGAAATATAATCACAATTCAGGGAAGGGGAATATACCGCCTATGGGCAAAAGTAGCCTGGGATGGTCCTGACGGGTGTGCCAATTATAGAACCTATATTCGGGGTTCCTCAACAGTGGACCTATTCACACTTAGAGTGAATAATCCTTTGTGTGTGGAGTCTGCTCTGTGCTTCATATAATAGTTGTTTAACGGTATCCCTGGCCTCCAACCAATAGATGTCAGTACCACACTCTCCCTCCCACCTCCACCCGCCCTCCCTCCCCACGAGTCATGGCAATAGAAAAAATATCTCCATTGTCAACTTCCCCTAGGGGCACAAAATTGCCCCCAGTTGGGAATTACCGCAGGATAATTTCTGGGACAGTCAAACTGAAGACATTCTGCTGCACAGCTTCTACAGAGACTCCTAGTCTTAACACCACTTGCCCCACTTCTGGGTCTGAAATGAAAATCATTTATGATGAATGTGTTAGCCTGGAGACGAGTACCACCAACTCTTGGTCTTTATTATTTTCTTTGTTTTTCGTTCTATTACTTTTTAAAAGAAGCCCTCTTAGGGAAATAAATACCCTTTGCTACCTTCTGTTCTCCTAACACCCATTCTAAGCTACCTTTATTCGGTGGGACCCGTGTGTATTCCCAAGCCTCCACTGGGAACGCTGCAGGTGACCGTGAGCAGGTAGGAGATTCAGTGGTTACGCTGGAAGAACACCCGTGGCTCACCCTCCTTCCGCATGCTCGCTCTTTCTCTAAATCCCTTTGTTCTTTGGGTAAGTAAAAGCAACCAAATTTAGCTTCTACATGAGCCCACTTGCTGTGGAACCTCATCAGAACAACATGTGCCCCGCGTCTTTGTCGCTGCTTTAATCAGAAGGGTCCCGCTCTGCTCTGTCTCACGTGAGAGGGAAGGAGCCCTTTGCCACGAGTAAACATAATAGGCAACATATAAGAACAGTTGCCTAGCAAACAAAATCCTCAGAGGGCCTCTGGTGTGTGACCAGTTCAAAGTGGCCACTTGCTGACCAGTAATTAGCTTGGCCCAGGTCTGCGCAGCAGACCCAGTGAACTACAAAGGCGACTTTGGGGAAGAACTTCTTTCTTGAAGGAGATGTGAGGAACCTGTTCTAAGAGGTACTGCCCAAGTCTGTCCTGTGATCTTGCACAGTGGAGCTGAAAAGTGGATTAAAGCAGGAAATAACAGGCTAAGCGTGGGCTCACACGCACTCGCACATTCGGGCACAGCTTCGCTCATTTACTTTCTGTAGCAAAAGGCCTGCTGACCTCTGTGATTTCCTCCCCCTCGAATTCAGAAGTGATGAATAGGATGCATTCTGACTTTAAATGCAATGGCGAGCTTTGAAAGGATGAAAAATTAGCAACATATGGGCTGAGGAACCCAAAGAGACCTGAAAGGGAAGGAAATGCTTGAAAGAAGTTTCAGATGTTATGGTGATCCTAGAGCCAGTGCTGGATGGATGGGTGGCTTCGTGTGCTTGTGAATGGGGGTCAGGGCCTCTGTGCCTGCTCTGACGCCACTCCCTGCCCTGAAGCTCTGCTTCTCCCTTTCTCCAGGCCTTGAGCAACAGGAAGGACGTCCTCCTGCTTGGAAATGGTCTCCACTGAGTCTTCTGGGCATTCCAGTGGATGCCATGGAGAACAAGGAGACCATTTTCTCAAGTATGTTTCTTCTTTTCTTCAACATGTAATACCACTAGTCCTTGACTTTGTCCTCAAGCTTTCCCCAAAAGGGAAGTGACGCAAGCCAAGCGTATGTTCTGCCTGCGGGGAAGGGCAGGTGCTCTCGATCTATTGTATTAGTCCAAGCTCTACCAGTTGCAAGGGCCACAACCCAACTTCAGCGAGCCTGAGCAGGAACATCGTTTCACATAACAGAACATTGGAATGGTGGAGCTGGCTCCAAGTTCACCTGGATCCAGAAATTTAAACACTGTGGGGATGCCCCTCACTCTCACACTTGGCCTCTCGATTCTATTTCCTTTCCTACATTGGCCTCATTCCTACCTCCCGCACATGGGCTTCTTCCACGGGGCAGGATCACCTACCCCAGTGGCCTGGATTCTTTGCGCATAAATTTAATAGTCCCAGAGGAAAGAAGAAGAATATCTCTTGCCTACTCAGTAATACAAAAATCTAGGGAAGGACTCTGATTGGGCAGGCTTGTGTCATGAGCCACTCCTGGAACCATCACTGTAGCCTTTGACCAGCCAGCTCATGTGGCAGGCCCTTCTACGGGCCACAGAAAGCACAGAGGAGGAAGCTGGGGGAGCAGGTCTCTGCAGGAAGGGAGGGGGTGTAACTGGAATAAAGGGAAAAGGGGTGCTGTGCAGACCTAAACAGCAACACGTGTTAAATCGGTTGCCAGTTCCCCAGTATATGATTTCCTAGCATAGCCATAACAAATTACCACAAACCAGGTGGTATAAAATGGCAAAACTTATTCTCTCACAACTCTGGAGGGCAAAAGTTCAAAATAAGGTATCGGCAAGGCCACACTTCCTTCGAATTCCTAAGGGATATTCCTTTTCTTGCCTCATCCAGCTTTTGGTGACTGCCAGCGTTCCTTGGCTTGTGACTGCTCACTTCAGTCTCTGCCTCTGTCTCCACATGGCTCTCTTCTCTTGTCTGTGTCTCCTCCTCTTCCAATAAGGACACATTACTGGACATAGGGTTTCCCTGGATGACCCAGAATGACCTCAAATCAAGATCCTTAACTTGGGCCCTGGCTGGCGTAGCTCAGTGGATTGAGCGTGGGCTGTGAACCGAAGTGTCACAGGTTCAATTCCCAGTCAGGGTACATTCCTGGGTTGCAGGCCATAAACCCCAGCAACCATACATTAATGTTTATCTCTCTCTATCTCCCTCCCTTCTCTCTCTATAAATAAATAAATAAATAAATAAATAAGCTTAAAAAATAGTTAAAAAAAGATCCTTAACTTAATTACACCTGCAAAGACCCTTTTTCCAAATAAGGTGATATTGAAGTTTCCAGGGATTAGGGCTTGGGCATATGTTTTTTGCAGGTGCACCATTGAACCAATTGCACCCAGTGCTAGGTGCCCTCTCAAGTGTCAGGGAAGCATTTGGGCTGGCTCTGCCACAAACACGCTGCGAGCTTGCCCTGCAGGTGCTCTGGTCCCATTCTCAAACTCGCCCAATCCCCAGATGGGTGTCTGTGAGGCCAGCACACGCAGGCAGGATGCAGAGTGGGACCTGGGACCCGGTGCAGCCCTGTTCCATGCTAATTTCCCACAGTGCCTCTTTTCTTGCCCTTTTTATTTTCCCACTGTCCCGGTTCAGACCCCCTCCTGGCTCTCTTTACCAGCTGCATGGCCTCGGGCAGACAACTAAAACTCTGCGTCTCAATTCTCTCACCTGTAAAATGGGAATATAAATAATACTCCCTTCCCATGTGGTGATTCTGAGACTCAGATAAGTAGGGATAAAGTATAAAAAAGCACTTACCACAGTACCCTGCACAAAGTAAGCACTTCATATTTTCTAGGGTTTTTTTTTAATCCTGTAGTTTTGCTAGTTACTTCTTTGTTTTTCCTTAAGCACTTTTTTCCCCTTCATGTTCTTCTCGATTTAGTGCAGATACTGGCACACTCTGGTGTGCACCTGAACCACCTGGAGGAGACTTAAAGATGCACAAGGTTGGGTCCCACACTGGGAGATGTGACCCCATGCCCTGGGGTAGGTCCTGTGCCTCTGATTTTGACAAGTGCTTGGGTGGTTCCATTACAACCAGACTCTGACACCCCTAGTCATGGGGGAGACACTAGGTGAGGAGGTTCTAATCCCACGATCTCGTAATTTACTGTACCGTTGTGGGAAAGCCACTTGACCTAAGTTTTTTCATCTTTCAAATGGGCACAATAATGCCTTCCGGCCAGGGTCAAGTGAGAACATGCATACAGTATCTAACATATCTAACAAAAGAAGGGTCATGATGGTAAGACCCGATGTATCTGATGCATTAGCATTGTGGAAACTTATACATGTATTACTTGGCCTAACTTTTTCAAACGATTTGAAAATTAGAGGTTGGTTTCCACTATACAGATGAGCAAACTGAGGGTCATGGGATGATTAGGATGCTCAAACAGGTTAATATTGATAAAGAACACCTTAGTGGTTTTTGCCTTTATTCTAACTCTTGGATTGTTTGGCCTGTGGCAGCCACCTGTGTAGAGGTAGGGTTTTTCTTCAGGAGTGACTCCACCCAGGTGTTCTCTGCCTCCTTTTCTCTCATGGAATATAGGACATGTCAAGATCAGCTTCTTGCTGATACAAAAGACTTCCTGTCCCTGGCTTATGATTTAGTTCACGGACTAAAATGTCTTGAAGTATAGGACTCAACATCCATAAAGCAAATGTAGTTGACAAAACTCTGTTCAGGTGACCAGAAGGTTCCACCTTCTTCCTCTGTCAGCAGCCCAGGGGGAAGAGAAGCCAGCAGGGCCACCAGGAAACTAAGGCACAGAGTTGGCAGCCACAGGGTGAGGCGAGTTCAGGGAGGAACGGTGGGCCAGCCTGGCCAGGGCAGAGGGCAGGGGATGCAAGGGTGCAAGTCTGTTTTCTCCTGAGAAGGGAATCCAGCTCGTAGCTCCCGTGGCAACCTCTGGTCTGCTCTGAGTGTTTGCTTCTCCCACCCCCTCCCTCCTGCACCTGACTGAGTGGTTGTCGCTGAAGTCAGCAGAGCCTTGCCAGCTCCCACTTCTTGGCACACCCCTTG